CACTCCTGACTGATCCATTTCTACAAATGGATTTCTACAAATGAATTGTTCCTAAATAGACAATTTGTTATACCTTATTTGCATATGATGTTGCAAAGTGTAGACTGGCAGCCTATAAAAGCCTGTGTAAACCTACAGATGGGGTGCAGAGCTTGGAATGTTAACTCCTCTGGGCCTGCTGGTGTAATAAACCTGAGTTCTCCAACTCTCCAAGTGCTGCTTGCTCTCTCACCGGATCCACATTGCTGTCACAACTAAGCTGTAACACTGAGCTGTAACACACTTTGCTGCAACAGGGTGGCGGATGCCTCCCCATCTTTTCACCCTAGAAACGGCATCTTTGCCAAAAGAACCAGGGCGATGCGTTTTGGGTGGTCCCCTGGGGCGTGGGCAGCGCAGTCCCAACAGCTGCCTGGACAGCTGCCCTTTCTACACAAGGAGGGAGGCGCTCTAGCCCCCGCCTTTCCCACAGCACAAGAATGAAGAGGCGTCAGCAGAAGCCCTGAGCTAAAGCCCACGAGGGCCAGCCTGGCTTCCTTCCCAGGACGTAGCCCAGAGTGGGCATCTGCGCACAGACCCTCCCTGCTCTCAGAGGCTCAGAGGTGGGATCCTGTTCCCCTGTGTGGATTCAGATACTTCCCCCCACCTGACCAGAGGGACCTGGGGGGAAACACAATTTCCTTTTGAGCACAGGGCACAGATACTGGTCACTAAATTGGGACAGTCAGGGCCTGATTCAGGTCCAGGGTGATCCTTGATGGCAAGCTTGGGTCCTTCTTATCTCTGCCCCGGCAAGCACTAGTGGAGAACTTGGCCCAAAAAGGCTGGGACAGCTGCAGAAGGACTGAGCAGGGACACTGGGACCGCAGTGGATGCTGCGGCCGCGCCCTGTTCAGAGTGGAGATCCTGGGTGGCTGCCCAGCTGCGATGGAGGACCTGGAAGGCAGGACCCTTCACTCACCAGCGCAGACCCACCACTGCGCACAGAAGAAAGACAGGAGTTCAGTGACGGAATCACATCTGCAAACTTGTTTCACTTTTTACAAGGTGATCAGAAAATAGCCTTCAGAGGAAAGTTTCCTCCGGAAAGAAAACCCATTCTATTCAAATAAACATTTCTGCAAAGTTGCCTTGGGTAGGTCCTCAGCCATTTTCCCCTGAGGTGAGCCTGATGGACTGCTGCGTCCGAGCGAGCGACGGGTGGCCGCTCTGACCTAGAAGAGGGTGTGCCGGGCGCTCCGCTTGCTCAGCCAGGCTCAGCGCGGTGCAGCATTCCTGGCGGGCTGCGGGTTTGCCCGCTGTGTGCCGGCCCTTGAGGAGGAGTGGGTGGGATGCTGTCTGTTAGTGGGGTGGGGGTGGGGAGTCCGTTAGAAATCAGGCTAGACCCACCCTGGTGGCAGGGCCAGGGGAGAAGGACAGGGAGGTGGGGAGGGGAGAAGAAAAGAAGTGAGCAGATCCGGCATGTGGGAAGGGGCTCGGAAAGGACGGGATCATGTGAGTGGAGCAGCACGCTTCCCGAGGGGGGAGCCCCAGGGAGCCTTCAGGTGGGGTTTTCTCAGGGTCCCCTCTTCCTTGAAGACTTCAGGGATCTCAAATGGCTGAGTATGTGTGTGTGTGTGTGCGCGTGTGTTTGGGGGTGGGGACTGATTGTTCTGGGGGAGGGGCAAGTAAGCTCTCCGGGGTTTACTAGGAGGGGAGTTCGTCTGCTGTAATTCTCAAGAAATGCCTTCTGTGGCAAAGTCCTCCAGGTCATTGGTAGAGATGATGCCCAGGCTTGGAGCATCTTCCCCACCCTCCCCCGGGCTCTGGGGTGGCCCCTCAGGGCGCCGGCCTGCCGAGTGCTGGGTGGGGTCGCCAGGAGGCTCAGAGGTCAGCTGCAGGGCAGCATCATGGGCGCTCTGGGGCCTGGGGCCCACTGCCTCGGTGATGTGAGGGGGCTGCCTTAGGAAGGTGGGGGCGGAGAGCTGAGAGGAGCAGCGCAGGGGCATCAGGGCCGTCATGGGCAGGGGCCGGAAGCCGGGGTACAGCACGTAGGGAGCAGCAAGTGCGTCTGGGGGGGTTGGCTCCGGGGAACCTCTCTCAGAGGCTGGGATGGAGACCTTGACATATTTGCCTGTCTCTGGGTCATAGAAGGTCTTGATTTTCACCTGGAGTGGCAGATCGAAGACAAAGTACTCTCCAGACTGGGGGTCTTGGAGGACCTTCTGGGTGGCAGGGAAAGCGGGCAGGGGTGTAAGGGACTGGGACCCCCCAGGCCGCCGTCGGACCGGCTCTGAGAAGGCTGACACTGAGTGGCGGTGCGTGGGAGGGGGCAGGGAGCGGACCACGGGGAACCTGGGCTGGGGCTTCTCTCCGGGGGATGGTGGCCTCTGCTCTGAGTCCTCAGGATGGAGCCTTTCCTCTCGGCGTTCGCCATGCTTTTCTTGCGGCTGGTCGATCTTTCTCCTCTTGCTTGCCAACTTCTTCGCCCGCCGCAGGGCCTTCTCTGTTTTGGGCGGGACTGCGGGTGGCTTGCCGGCTGCCCTGTCCAGCTGAGTAGGGGGCCCTGGCTTCTCCCGGAGGCCTGCTGAGCTGGTGGCCACATCCAGCAAGGAGCCTCTTGGAGAAAGCGTCCTGAGGTCTTCTGCTGATGGCTCAAGTTGGGGGTCGGATCCAGCCTCCCACGTGAAGGCATGTGTCAGGTCCTCCCTGCGGGCTGCCCTGCCAGGGGCGGGGCTGGACCAGTGGCTGCTGTGGGGAGGCTCCCCTGGCAGCAGGCTTAGCTCACTGGGGGCCTGGGAAGCATCGTCCCAAATGCTACTGGTGGCAGGGGAGCACACGCTGTTCTCCTCCAGGGAGTTGGCGTTGGGGGACACCGCCATCCCCCCGGGGACCAATCTTCTCCCCGGGGGCCCTGCCCTGGGTGTCGACAAAAGGTGACTTTGGAAGCCTTGTGTCTGCTCTTCCCAGCAAGTTCCGAGCTGCTGTGGAGGTGGCTGGTCTTCCAGGTCACCTTCGGGCAAAGCAATCGTGGGGATGCACTTTGGAGCATCCAGCTTCCCCTGGTCTGCAGAATTGCTCTTACGGTCATTTGCCACAACTTGCCTTGCGATGTCTGGGGTTGGCTTCAGCCCTTGGCCCTCTCTAGTGACTGGAGGAGTTGGGACATACCTCTTTGGAGCTGGATGGGAGGTTTCTGTCCTGGCCTCACTGGGCACCCGCACGTGGTCCTCCATACCCTCACAGGTCACGCCCTTAAAGTGTGCACCCCGCACGCTGGTAGATGTTGGAGTGCTGGGCATTTCCTGGCTCTCGGGAACACAAAGGCCAGCGTCCCCGCTCCAGCCCGGCCTTGGCAATTCCTCCTCATTGTGGCTACTGCCCAGAGGGGACTCTGAGGACGTGACCCTCAAGAGGGGCAGCATGATGGGTTTTATCACAGGGGTGGCCCTGAGGGTGTTGTCTTTAATTGCAAACAGTATGTGCTTGTTTGAAGTGGACGATGGTGACGGGGTTAGGTCTTTGGCATGGGAAAGAGAGGTATCCTTACTTCCCCCAACCCAAGTGCCTCTGAAATTAGCTTCCTTCCTCGATGCCTTCCCGGGGCTACCTCCAGGCAAACTTTCCTCTTCACCTTGCAACGATTCCCTCTTGCTGAGCTCCTCCACGCGTGCGTGCCCACTGTTTAAGGGGCAGTAATGTAGCTCAGCTTCCTCCATCACTTTCTCCTGCTCATCCTTCTGACTGTCACCTGCACTCACGTCATTCCTCCTGTCTTCCCGCTGGCTCTCGGTGAACCACATCTTCTGCTGATCCTCGAACGAGGCAAAAGACTGATCCGAAGAGCTGGTGCTGAATTTGGCCCTACCTTTGAGGCCTGGCATAAAATCAGACTGGGTATCGCTATAAAACACATCTTCCTCCTCAGGAGAGAGGGGCCCTGGGGAGAATTTCTGGTTGAAGTTTGGATTCTGAAGTCCTACCTCTCTCTCGGGTTCTGTCTCTTGAGAGATGGATCTCAAGAACCCATTCTCTAGGCTGAGGGTCTTCGGGTTCTCCACAGTCTTCCCCACCTCGGAGTCTCCCCTGCAAAGCTTCAGGGACAGGTGTTTCCTGGGGTAGCGTTCCCGGGAGTCTGGACACCAGCCGGGCCTGGAGGTACCCATCTCTGATTCTCCATTGGCGTCATCCTTCTCATAGCCGTTCCTGTCGGCAGCCTCGCCGTTGACACAGAAGGGAGCTTTGGTGGTAGCTGATGGTGAGGGTAGAATTAGGTTGTTGTCTGCAGCGGCTGCACTGGGGTCGGCTTTGGGGTCCTTCTGGATACTGACTAGCGACACAGAAGGGGCTTCAGCGGGTCTCTCCTTACACAGCTCGTCTGGCGGGCTTTCCTCGAGCCCGTTGGGAAGGAGGACGCCGTTGCTCAGGGAGTCTTGCTGGCCTCTGGCTTTCTCATCGAGACCTTTCAAGAGAGGCGAGGGACTGTATGTGCTCTTCACGCGCTTGCGCACGTCCTTGAGGTTGAACAGCAAGCTAGGGGCTTTGGACTTGTAGCTGTCCCGGGACTGACATTCGCTGGGCTCCTTCTCTTGGTATCCGTTTAGCTGTCCTGGGGGCGACGGGGTTGTCTCCACCGGCTGGCTGTCGGATGACTCCGGGACATGCTTGGTGGGTATGATGGGGGTCAACAGCTTACTGATGTTGAAAGGAGGATCGTAATGCTCGCTGGGGTCCACAGGCATGTCAAGAGCATCATTTTCTGGAAATTGCTCCTGGGGATTGTGCTTTGTATACAAGGCTGGGCCTCTCCTGTTGGCCTGCTTCCTCTCTCCCGAAGCCTCCTGTAGACTTTCTTTCGTTCCTTTGCCAGGCTTTGGTTTCCTCCAGGGGGCGTGGTTTGGCTTCACCTGAGGGTCAGGCTGTGAGCTGGAAGCTTTTCCCTCCGTAGCAAATATCTGGGCTCCGGGATCCCTAGATGCCCAGGGTCCAGAGGTGGGGAGAGTCCCTGCGGCCAGCCTATTCTCTTCCTGACCACAGCTGGCCCGGACGTGGCAGGGGGAGACTTTGTGCTCGGGGACCGGGGGCTCTCTTAACAAGGGCGTGTCTTCATAATGCACGGGAGCCTTGCCTTCTGGGGCAGCATCAGCAGCATCCTTCCTCTCAGGCAGCCTCGGCTGGTGGGCGTTCCAGGACTCAAAAGCACTGTTTTCACTATGAAGAAAAGTCCCCTTGGGAGCCCACTCCTTGCCCCTTCCAGGCTCACCCGTGGCTGCCTTGTGGGCTGGAGAAGGAAACTTTGACTCAAACGAGTTACCCGCGTTTTCGGGTGCTGGGAGAAAGCTGCTGGCTCCGTGACAGGCCATTTCGGGGTTCTTGGGGGACTCCTCTCCGTGCTTCCTGCCAGGCTGGTGGCTAGTCTGATGGGTGCTGGAGACTTCGGCAGGCACCCTCCTGACGGTCAAAAAGGCAGAATCGAAGCAGAAGTTGACTCCACTTTCTGGAAGAGGAGCAAATTTGGGGGGATTTTTGAGAGCCGGAGGCTTGCTCGGAGGTGGTCTGCTGTCACAGCGTTGGCTCTCAGTCCTGTCGAAAGATTTAATTAGTGATGATACTTTGGAAATAGGCTTGTTGCTGCTCCTCAGGCCGGAAACGGGCACCTCCAGTCTCCTCTGGGCTGGTGTCAGCGGGGGGCTGCTTTTGGGGTATTTCTCCTCCCCTTGAACGTACTTGGGCAGCTGTTGGAACGTGGCCGCCCAGCCCGCGTGCTCGGTGCCTTGTGATGGTAACTGGCTCCAAAGGCCACTTTTCCGGTGGGTGTGGCTCACCGTTCCCTGATGCAGATTCCCGAACACCTGGCGGGTGATATCCGGGGACAGGGCCAGGTCGGAGTCATGGAAGGAGGCGTCCTCTGAGATGCACAAGCTCCGGAATGCCCGGTCTGTGAGGCTGCTCACCTCCCGGTCCGCATCGTCCAGCACACTGCCGATGCTCGAGGAGTCGCTAAAGCCGTCTGTGCACTTCTTACTCCCCTGCATCGTCTGTCAGCCAGGAAGACCGTCCCCGTCAGCCAGTGGGCACCCCTGGGTGATGCTTCTGGAAGGGTTGGATGCAGCCCTCTTGTCACAAAATCAGAGTTTCCTGATGATCAGATGCAATGGCGAAGTGGGAGTTTTATTTTTCTGCAAAAGAAAGAAGTGCAGGGTATGAATACCATATCCAACTTAGTGGCTCCATGTAATAAAGACACGCTGGTCCAGATGGGCAACCGTGCCTGTGATGGTTGATTTTATGTGTCAAGCTGGCTGGGCCATGGTGCCCAGTTTTTGGTCAAATGCCAGTCTAGATGTTGCTGTGAAGATAGATATATCTTTAAAGATGTAATTAACATCGAAACCACTAGACTTTGAGTAAAGCAGATGACTCTCCAGAATCCACAAGGCTGAGATACCCCAAGCCAGAGGCAATTCTACCTCCAGTCTTTGGCCTGGAGCTGGAGAATCGATTCCGCCTTGGGTGTCCAGCCTGCCTGCCAGTCCTGCCATTACATGAGCCAGTTCCTTTACAGTAAATCTCCATCTCTCTCTCCCTATACATTCTATTGGTTCTATTCCTCTGGAGAAGCCTGACTACTACACTGCCTAAAGTTCAGATGTGTCATTTTTGCAGAGAGACCCTCCCTGGTGTCCCACGGTGTGTGTTCCCTTCTCACTATCTGTCACAGCGCCTGGTTTATCTTCTTTGTGGTACTGAGTAGGTTCTAAAATAAAATGTACTTCTTTGATGCCTCTCCCCTCCTTAGACTCTAAGAACCAGGAGCTCAGGAGCCACTAGGATGTCTGCTCACATATTGCCCTTGGCTCATAGCCACCCCAAGAGGGCACAGCCCCCCAGAGCCTGCATCCTCTGGGCTCTTCACTCTCTGGCTTGCCCTTGGCTGTGGCCAGTGGGAGATGCTGGTAGGAGCTTGGAGGGAGGGGAGCCAGTATCCCTGGCATTTTTCCCTCTCCCTGCCCCATCCCATCCCTGCTCCTGGCTGTGGTGTGAGGTCCTGGCAACACTGCAGTCCTCTCTAACTTCGACCCCTCCCCTGGGCTCTGACTCTCCCTGGGCCCTGCAACACTGCTGCCCTTGCCCCCGAGGGCTGCAGGGAGGATGACTGCCGCTCTTTCTGAGTGACCCCACATCCTGGGGTCTCCCTAATTCTGCCTACACCTCGGTTACAGCCCCTTCATTATATTCTCTTATTCTTTTAAAAAAAGATGGTGAAATATACAAGACATAGAATTCACCACCTTAACCACTGTAAGTGTATAGGTCAGTTGTGTTAAGTGCATTCATACTGTTCTGCAACCATCACCACCCTCCACCTGCAGAACTTTTTCATCTTGCAAAACTGAACTGTGTGCCCATTACACCACCCCTATTCTCTCCTCCCCACAGTCCCCAGAAACCACCATTCTGCTTCCTGTCTCTATGAATCTCACTACTCCAGGTACCTCATAGGAGGGGTACCATCCAGTATTTGTCTTTTTGTGACTGGTTAATTCACTTAGCAGTGTCCTCAGGGATCATTCATGTTGCAACATGTGTCAGAATTTCCTTCCTTTTGAAGGCTGAATAGTATTGCTTTGTATGTATAGACCACATTTTGTTTATCCATTCATCCATCAGTGGACACTTGGGTTGTGTTCACCTTTTGGCCATTGTGAATGATGCTGCTATGAGCACGGGTGTCCAAATACCTGGTCAAGAGCTTGCTTTCTATTCTTCTGGGGACATACCCAGACGTGGAATTGCTGGATCATATGGTAGTTCTGTTTTTAATTGTTTGAGGGGTCACCGTACTGTTTTCTTCCAGAGCGGCCGCACCATTTTCCACATCCACTAACAGTGCACAGGAGTTCCAGTTTCCCCACATCCTTGCCAGCACGTGTTTTCATTTTGGATGGTTGCCATCCCAGTAGGTGTGAGGTGGTTCACTGCATTCCCTGCTGGATTCTGTCTGAGGATGCTGGGACCCTGACCTCCACCACTGGGTACGCACCTCCAGTGCCTAGAAGAGGCCTGGCCGGGGCAGGGGTGAGGAGATGAGGACATGAAAAGTTAGATAAAACAGCAAGTACAGACCCCAGAGTGGGCTCAGGTTGAGGGCATTTGGAACAGTGAACATCTAGCAGGGAGCTGTGAGTCCTCCGCTGTCACAAGCTGTCTCTGCACGTAGCCCTCCCTGCCTGGCTGGCCTGGGCAGTAGCCGCAGGGACCTGAACAGGACTGTGGGGGATGGAGGATGAAGGTGCCGTAGAGCCCACACGTCAGGAGTCCCGGAGCCTAGCCTGGCTCCACAAACAGGGTTGCCCACAAGGCATCCTGCTCAGGTCCGAGGCTGGTGTGCCTGCAGCGCTATGGTTTGGTCCTGGAGGTCCGTCCGCCTTCCTCGAAGTTGCCTGCTTCCTCTCTTGACCACAGCGCTCTGATGACTTTTCTTTTTTAAATTAAAAATTATTCTTTTATTATTTTTAATTTTAAATTTTTTTTGGGGATAGTACTGAGACTGCCAAGGCAC